CTAGAATTGAATAATGAATGTCCTATCTTTTTGGAGGGATTGAAGAAGAAAAATGGCTACGTTTATACTGGCAGAAGCAAGTGTGCTTCTTCAAATATGCTTCATACAGACTTTCTTCTGTCCATTTTCTGGCTTTGTGCCCAGTTTTAAGTTTATTTCTCAGTGAGAGCAATACAATGAAAGCTGTGCTTCCTCTCTACTGTCATGGTGCCATATAGTAATTTGAACATAACTTTCCAATGGGAGCTGTTGCTTTTTATGTCCTTTTGAGTATTTTCCTCATTGGTGTACTAGGGTGAAGGGGGCACATTTAGTGCAATCACAAGGATTTATAGTATCTTCTGTCAACAGTGCAAATTGCCATATACCCTTGTGACTTAGAAAACTGATCACAGATGTTGCTGAAGACATAACAAGAAACTGATTTAAAGTGGAAATAACTAGACATGAGGCATCATTTCCTATTGTTAAAGCTGTTATACAATGGAACAAATTCTCCCAGGATATAGGCTTTGTTTTGCTGGAACAGAGATTGGATAGATATAGCAATTAATTATTATAGAATCTTTTCAGGGATTCCATATTAATGAATTACTATACCGACAGGGAATTGAATTAGATCAGTGGGTCTCAGGCTTGTGTTCCATAGGCAACATATGGTCCTCCAGGTGATTTTACAGCCTATTTCACAAGGACAGAGTGGCAAAGAATGACTTGTTTGTACAACAAAAGGCTAGCAAAAGGGTGGTGCTATTATTTGAAAATGAATTTAGATCTAGAGAGGTGTTTACTTTTCTTCCTCAAAAGTTGGGTCTTGTTAAGGTTGTTACTGGCTGATAATTGGGGTTTGGGTTGGCTTCATCTCAGAATGTGGAGTTGGGTAATGGTGGACATATTGACAGATCAATCACCAGAATGCAGTTCTGGAGAGATATTTCTATTTTACAGGAATATTTTTTAAATTTTTTAAATAAATTTGGTGGGCACACCATGATGGTAATCATTTTCTTAATTTTCAAGTTATAGGAGAGGATTTTTTTTTTGTTTCAGTCTTTAGTATCACAGTCTTTTAAGCTGGTCCTTGTGTGGAACTCTAGTAATTTGAATTTGAGGTTTCTGAACCATCTTAGGTCTCTTCAAGCCCTAAAATACAATACTATTTAAAAGAAAAAATAGAAAAAGCTGGGTTTCTTGGTGTTATTCAGTAAATTAAATAGATGGTTTTATTTCCAAACAACAAAAAGTGATAATATTGATTAAAATTATTTGAATAGGAGATAGTTAGGAGAAGATGTCTTGCATGTAACCCAATTAGTCAGGTCTCTTTATTTCTTGAAAGGCTGTATTAACAGGCAGGAAGCAAGTAACCTTGTTGTATAGCTATTTCCTCTGCCCTCCCTTATCCTGGGAGGAAGACATACTGTTCCTTTTTACAAAACAACTATTTTAAAACAGTAAAATGTATTTTGTTTTTATTGGGATCTGTACAGTTGGAATAGTGCTCTTGGCTGATTAAAGCTGTGATGTCCTTTTCTAGCATTCTAGGAAAAAATCAATGTGTTTGTAGGTGTGTTTGTAGGTGTGTGAAAATGAAACAACTAAGTGTTCATTTAAATTATGAGTTTGGCCTTACATGCAGCTGGAAAATATCATGCAGAGGAATTGAATGTTGTGGAAGTTTAGAGAAACATCTTACATTTTAGACATCAGTGAAAAATGATACCTAATGTTTTATTGCCAAATGCTGTTCATTGGCACATAAAGCAGTTCTGTCCGTATATGAATAGCACCGCTTTTTTATTTGTATTCTTGTTGCATCATTAATATAATGAATGACCTTTTTTGTGCTTTTGTATATGATATTCTGGAGTTTACCCCATTGTGGTTTCTACTAGTTTAACTGGAAAAGGTTATATCATAAAAAAAAGAAAAAATTGCTTTGATTCATATATGCTGAGAAGCCATAATCTTAACCATTTGTTTTGGGATTATGTCTAAATAAATCTAAACAGTTACTTTTCTAAGATTATTTGCACTTTTAAAAAATGAAAAGTTATTACAAGTATTGTGATTCAATTCCCAATGGGACTGTTTTCTTTCTATCTCTGCTTGTTTTATTGAGCACTTGTCTATTCTGTCTCAGGTAAACCTTTCATTTAAGTGGGGTTTTTCCTTCCAGTATTCTGAATTTCAAGGAAGTTTCTCATTAATATAGAAAACTTAAATCCATTTCTTGTATGGAAGGTAAAAGGAAAGTATATTGAAAAAACATTTTTTTCAGAAAAAAGGTTGGAAAAGAGAATTTTTCATTTCTCCCCTTCCCCATCTGTTATGAAGTAAGCCAATTTTTTTTCAGATGCACAGACTCCTGATATGTTTTAATCTAAATGCTAATGTTAGTGGAAAGCATTAACATTAGCAATTGTTTTATTTGAGAAGCCAAGAAAAAAAAAGTAGAAATTATGAAAAAATTGAGGGTTCATTAAGTTGCTACATAATCACTAGCAGCTTTCTGACTGTAAAAGATCAGCTTGTTTTGTGTGAGTTCAGTATTCAATGGCCTAAAACTCAATTAGGCCAAATTTGGATTTAAATGGTGACTTCCGGAATCTGGTCCTACGATGTGGGTAATTTGAATATTAGCTGTATATATGAGTGTGTTTGTACCTGTTTTTTGGAAAAATAAAAGTTCATATCTTTGTCAGGTACCCTATTTTTATTCCTTGCAGTTCTTTATAGATAGGTTACATGCAAGGAATTAAAGTTTGAGGTATCAATATGTTTATGGTAAAGAATTAATTAAATCAAATAGAAAATGAAATTCAGACAAAAACCCATTTTATTTCAAATTCAAATGCTCAATGGTAAGTTAGAGCAGGGAGAGCAACTTGGATTTAAAATGACAGATTTTACATGTTCCTGTTATTTAGGAGTTAGGGTTAATTCTTCACAATCTTTTTATATTGCAGGACTCCTTAAGAGAGCTTAAAAATAGTGTTTTCATGCTGTCATAAATTAAAAGCGGTATATTTGATTTGGGTATATAATATTGTATATTAAATATATTGACCTACATGTATTCTGGTTTTATGTATACAGAACAGTGTAGTTTATTCTGAATTGGAATTGAGGGCCCTTTTTCATTTGCAATATTAGAGTATAAAATACTGTTTTAAAATATTAAGACTTTCAGGAAGGTTGTCTTTAACCTAGAAATGCTTGCTATTGAGAATACAGGTGAAAAGCAAATGAATTGTTGGGTATATGTTTAAGATAGGCACTCTATTCCCCCCTCCCCTTCAAAATATTTTTTCAAGGATATGATGTTTGCAGATTACATTTCAATGTCTATTAGTTGCCACAGTTCATTTTTCTGCTGTTTGCCTCCCTGATTTTTTTAAAATATTTGAGGGTGTCCCAGTGACGCCTGCTTGGAACCAATTCTGACTGGAACAGTCTATAAATCCTGTAAAAAATATAAATACATATTGAAGTCAGTTATTTCCTTAGAACAAAGAATTTAAACAGTGGAAGTTGTTATTCACTGAATGGAGACTAATTCTCAACAAAATACAGAGCATTTCATAATCCAAGGAAGCAAAAGGTAGCTCATACCGGTAGAAGGAGGGAGTTAAAGTTCTATTGCTTCACTGTTTTGTATCAGGACATAGAGATTATTCATTCATAAAACCTGATGATACTATACTGAAAAAACTCACAGGTATTTCTCACTGGTTTAGTTACAAAATTGTTATGCTCATTTTTTTTTTTCATTCTTGGGTAAATTGAATCAAATATACTTATTTTATATTTGTTGTAAAACATACATTTTAAAACAGGGTGAGTTAGGAAGATATTTGGAATTAGTAATGGGAAGATAATGGGAATATAATGGAAAGATAAGGAATACTGTAAGGCAGCAGGAAGATACTGGGAGGAAGTAGAAGCTACATTAGAACTGATTGTTGCCTGATTTAGATAACTGGAAAAGAAAGTTCAAATTTTGTGCAAGGACAACACAAACTGTTACACAAAATAATATACACGTGTATAATTACTTGTTTGTTTTGTTGATAAAACTACTGCTTTCCTGCCACTGAAATTTTGTTCACTTATTGTTTAATTTATAAGGGCTTAGTTTCAAGTTTGATTTATAGCATTGAGTTAGAAGTTTGTTTGTTTGTTTGTTTGTTAAAGAGATTCTAAACAATTTTATAGTGCTTGTGAGGATATCCTTCTGACCTACTTAATTGTCTGCAGTGCCTTAAAAGAATATCTTTTTTATTTCTTTGTAAACTCATCATAGTTTTAATTGTCCATTGGTAATAACCGTGATCATCTAATATTGATTAATAGGGAACTAATTTTCTCCAAATCACTGTTGTTAATGAGCTGTCTCTCTTCATGTAGCATGCATACACCATTTTGGCACTGTCATAAGTCATAGAATAAAGATATGCACAAAATAAATCAAGATATAACATGCTCTCGTGCAGAATGTTTCCAGTTGTTCATTTATTAGCAGATTGATATCTTATGCATCCATGAAAATCTATACAAAAGAACATAGAGCTGATACTGAGCAATGGTACAAAATTTAGCACACTACATATGTGATTTCAGTGATAAGGATTGAAATTTTATGAAAGCTGAATTTTTGATAGAAAATATATTATTAGAACAATATCAGTATTGCACTTAAGTGTTATTTTTTTTAATAGATTAAAGCTGAGATTTTCAAATTTAAATTTTGACTAAATAATTATTTTTGTAATCTTTCAGGCACCGAAAGTAACATCAATAAATTGTAAATACTCTGACTGTGATGGATAGAAGTATCTTGAATTGCTAATGAATGCTCATAATTTGTTCAGAAGCCAAAAAGTGAAGGAAACCTAGAAAGAGGAGTAGTTAGTACTGCTTCCTTAAATATTTATTGGCCAAATTAGATTAAGATTAGATACCGTTAATTCTGCTTTATTTATTTATTTATTTTGCAGACATTATCCAAAGCAATCCTTCACTATGGTGGCTGACACTCCAGAGAATCTGCGCCTTAAGCAGCAGAGTGAACTTCAGAGTCAAGTAAGGCTTTTAACTGTTTGTTCTCATTGTGCAGGTTACTGTAGGTTAGCAATTGCATCCCACCAAACGATACTCAAAGATTTTAGTGAAGAAGTCAATATCTTAAAAAGAGAGCATAGCCTAATGCTTAAAAATCAAAACTGCTTTACTTTCCCCATATTACCGAAAGAAAAAAAATACAGAAATGAAATAAAATATAAGCTGTCAACTCTACAAGAGATAACACTTATGATGCAACACATGAACGATAGTATCTTAAAACTAGCTCAGGAATCCAGAGCATGAAAGTACAATTGTGAAAGTCCTTATATACCTACTAAAGAGTGAGAAGGATGAAACAACGTATAAACATGGCAGATAGTTAAGTTATGAAGAAGTAGGGTGATATGTGCAGAGTTGAAATAGCATAAAGTAATAGGATTGAGAAGATTCAACCTGAAAGAGGAATTCCATTATTCAATGTTGAGGACTGTACCTTGTGGATTCTCAAGAACAGCAATAGTTGAAGCTCTGGCTTCATCAGTCCTTTGTCTGAATCTCATTTATAAAGGTATAGAGTCATGCCATGTTGCACAGAGCAAAATTAGATAAAGGACTGTAAAATTTTTGCATACTAGGAAAGCAAAGTATGCATTTGAAAGCAGAAATAAGTTTCTTATAGTATTAATAAAATCAGATTTTATTCCTAAATCATCATACAAAATTTATCTGGGTGTTATTCGGAACTAGGCCAAACCATCTGTATTGTATATTATTTTGCAATAAAAATAAGAATGCATGTTGAAATCTGCATATCAAATAAGAAATGATTACATTCAAAGGCTAGCAGAATACTGACTTCTGGTTTGCCGTTGCGGCAAAACAGTCGGGGAAATAGCAGGCTCTGATGAGCGCCGCGAAAACCCCGGCTGCCGAACTACTGCCGATGAGTCTTCAGACTGGAACCGTCCTGCAGGGACAGGGAAAAAGGAGGGACACCTCAGACGAAGTTCCTCGGACGTCAGAGGGAATCCTCTGAGTCAGCAGAGGGGGGAGGCAGCTATGGCAGCTGCCATGAAGCTGGGACAACCGGGCTAAGAGATGTGCTGGAGGAAAGTGGATTGAAACGGAGCTCTTTGAAGCTGGGTGAGTGACAACCAACCCAGGCTTGTAACAACGCCTAGAGCAATATTACTAACTATAAGACCCCTAGCCATAAAACAGCGGCTGAACAACAAAGAGGCTATGGAAAGTTTAAAATGCAAATTTAAAGAGACAAAGACCCGATAAACAACTAACTCTTGAATAGAACTAATGGAATCAAATACAGAGACATGGTGAAAAGACTGAATACTTTAAAATTTGAATTGGATCTTTAAAAAAAAGAGACTTGATATTTTTAAAATTAAAAGAAGTGGAAATAAATTGGACTGTTACATAACTGCAGCAAAATGAATACTAGCATGACTAATGGAAAATGTGGATTGTAGAGGGACACCTTCTGGTTTAAAAAGGAACATTGTAACTCGTCTTTGTTATGGATTTTGAGCTTTACAGATAACAGCCCAGGGATTTTGCGGAGGAGGTTTTTCTTCTTATCTGCAGGCAGCTTGACTTTGGTGAAAAGAAAAAGAAATTACAATGGAACTCCTATAACTGAAATAACAATAATTTAAAAAACTGGTGCAGGAATAAAAGAAGGATCTAGTGCAGGCTGAAGAGAAGGGAACGTGATGCATTTTACCCGGAATAAAAATAAGAAAAAGATTTAATATGACATATGGAGGACAAATTCAAAGATTTTGAAAATGGAAGGAAATATATGCCAGCAGACAAGGAAATGAAGAAATAAGGAATACAATCCACACTCGCCAGCTCGTTAACTCTAAGGCTAAGCGCCATGTTTTTACAGTTCACTTTCACTCATCCGCATTTTTTCACTCAGATTAGAAAGCCAAGAAAACTCTAATACTTGCGATTCCGAGTTTCAGGGTTCAAGTAACAGTATGCTGCTTATTAAGGCTGGTTCCTTTTCTTTCAGTTTAAAGTTTCCTGTAGCCGGCTTGTTCTGCAGAAGCAGACTTGTCCCACGCCGCCCGGAGTTCCAGCAGGTTGAACGGGAGCCGCTCCTGTTCCCTCCCCAGAAACTATTCCCTGGGGGGGTTGCAGGGGCTCAACCTGTGCCCTGCGATCTCTCTTCAAAAATCCTAAAGATTTTTGAAGTTTTCGAGCCGCTTCTTAGTCGCGAAGCGGCTCTACAAGCGGCGGGGCTGGCGGAGCTTCAAAAGGCACCGCCGCCGCCGAAGACGAGGAAACCAGAAGTCATCTTGCTTTGTTACAAAGTTTCTAAACTGCTACGAAGTTGCTTCGCTTGCAACAAGAGAAATAAGAGAGAAATTTCTCCTTTTTCAATACTGGACTTTGCTTTACTTTGGTTCTTATTTGATTAAATCTGGGGGACTTTTTCAGAAGTCTTTGTGGAGGTGGGAGAGGAAGAAGAACTTCCCTTTTTAGTAAAACCAGCCTACGTGGCAGGATGGCCTCAAAGAAGCAGGAAGCGAAGGCAACAGGAGGTGGATCTCCCACACATAAAGCACAGCCTCCCCCAGCACAACAGATACAGACTCAGAAAAAAGATTTTGATGTGGGAGATTTAAAAGAATTTATTTCTAAAACTTTGGATGATAAATTTCAAAAATCTCAACAGGAGATAGATGATAAACTTCAAAAATCACATCAGGAATTTATGCAGGAAATTAATGAAGTTAAAGATATGGTGAAACAGAATCAAAACAAGGTGACCAAAAAAATATCAGAAGTGGCGTCTGGCCTGGCAGAATTTATTGTGAAAGTTGATTCTAAAGTTGAAGAACTTAAATCAGAAGTTAATGTTAAGATGAAAGACAATGATTATAAAATTGCTGATGTTGACAATAAAATGCAAAGAGTTGAAAATGAGATTGTGATGGTACAATTCAGGGCAATGGAGTTTGCCATACGGCTTCGAGGAATTCGAGAAGAGGAAAGACAGGATTTGAGACAGGTTTGTTCTGAGGCCCTGGCCAAGATTCTACAAGTTAATCCTGATGTGGTTTTTCACAAAATAGATAAAATTTACAGAGTGAATTCTTGGGTGGCCAGACAAAGACAATTGCCCAGAGATGTGGTCATATATTTTACAGATAGAGAAATAAGAAATGACATCCTGCAAAAATCTTTTTACACTTCTGTGCAAGTGGGGGGCTCACGAATTGGAATTTATAAAGAATTACCTCCTAAAATGCTGAAAACCAGAAAAGAATTTGGCTTTCTTGTTAAGGAATTGCAAAATCTACAGATACCATTTCGGTGGGACGCCCCAGTTGGTATAATTTTCAGATACAAGGGAGAAAGATATCGTTTGAATACCGTGGAGAAGGCAGAGCACTTTTACACTACTATTCTTAAGGAAAGAACACCGTCCCCACGTACATCTACAGTTTTGGAGATTAAGGAGAGTGATGAGAAGCAACCTCAACGAGAACTGCAAGAACAGTCTAAGCAGGAATTAGAGGAAATGCAAGGCGCAGAAGGAGGTTTTCTGGATGAGCCTTTGCTGGAATCTTCTCCAATCTTGGACCCGGTTCGGATGATCGAAGTTAAGGATCAACGTATAACTCGAGCTCAATCTAAGTTACTTAAACAAAAGCAACAACAACAACAGGAAAGACAAGACAAGAAGGCAGTTAAGAGTACTGCACAAGAGACTGGAGCCATGGGGGGAGCAAGATCGAAGCTTTCGGATGACATTCGATTATTCTGCTCTTTGCTCCAGAAAGATGAAGATGACGTTTAAGTGTTTATCTTGGAATGTTAATGGGTTGAATTCAGCACAGAAAAGGAAGAAATTATTTACATATTTGAAACAATTTAATAATGATATAATTTGTTTACAAGAAACGCATATTACAACTCAAGATCAAAAATATTTGATAAACTCCAAACTAGGAACACATTTTATATCTTCAACTTCGCAAAAAAAGAATGGTGTGGTTATTTATGTAAATAAAAAGTTAACAGCTAAAGTTATAGAAGCAGATGAAGATGGTAGGTTTGTAGCAATTGCATTGCTTACAGCAAATGGCCAAATTCTTCTGATTGGAATTTATGCTCCCAATCAACAACAGGACCATTTCTATAAGATGTTACATACTAAAATACTGCAATGGGACTACAGATCTATTTTAATTATGGGAGACTGGAATGGAGTAATTGATTCTAAATTAGATAAAAAGAGTTTGGCAAAGTCTAGGATCAGATTACCACAGACCTTTTTTGACATGAAAGAAGATATCGAACTAAAAGATGTTTGGAGAATACATAATCCAAAAGAATTGGACTATACTTTTTTTTCTGACAGACACAGATCCTTCTCTAGGATTGACTTTATTTTGTTGTCAGATGATTTACTTGTCAAGACAAAAAGAACAAAGATTTTTCCAAGAACTTTGACTGACCATAGCCCAGTATGGATAGAAATTGAGATGGATAAGGTTGAGAGACGTTCTTGGAGATTAAATGAGAACTTGTTTAGATATGAAAAAAACACAACAGAACTTAAAAAGCATTTGAAAGAATTTTTTGAAATAAATTTGAATAAAGGTACCCCAATTGAAATTGTGTGGGACGCAAGTAAAGCTTATATGAGAGGGGTACTTATCTACATGAACTCTAAACATAGACTGTTTCGACAAAAGAAAAGATCTGAATTGGAAATAGAAATAAAGAATAAAGAACAGTTACTTATTAAAAATCCAACAGATGAAAGAATATGCAGTGCTATAAAACTTTTGAAAGACCAATTTCAAATGCTTATGGCGGAACAAGTTGCAACAAACTTACAATATGCGAAGCATAATACATTTTGTAACGCTAATAAACCGGGCAGATGGTTGGCTTACACATTGAGGAAAAAACAAAGTATACGGACTATTTATAGTATTGATATTGGAGGGAAAGAAATTTTTCAACAAAAATTAATT